CGCACTCTGCCCCGTTTGCCATGGGCATTCTGGAGCTTCGGCGGAACTCACACGCCGTGATGAGGAGCACATTGCGCCAGCCACGGTACATTAATCTCAGGTAAAGCGCCCACCCCCTGCTGCTAATGCACATCTCCCTGATTTATAATAGATGCTTAAAAGTGGTAAATAAATGCCTGGGGGCGCCCAGCTGAGCTCCACGCACATCAGGGAGGACCTGCTCCCACAGCCCCTCCCGACAAAGTGGCCGATATTAAGGTCTCTTCTCGTGTCGTCTCCGTAGAGACACTACGATGCTCATGAAAAGCCTCAGCGGAGGTGGGCTGAGGGCGCCTGTGATTCTAACAGGAGCTGTCACCAAGCCGCAAGTAGCTGGCTCCGTCTGCCTTAGCAGAGTCACGCTGCGGTGTGTTAGTGGTCACAGCGGAAGCCCTCAGCCCCCTGTAGCTGTGAGCCTGAGCGGTCGGGTGCGCAGGGCATTCCACTTCAGGGTATGGCAGGCCTCACAACGGAAGCTTTGACTGACTGACGCTAACGGTTAGGATAGAGTGAAAGATGAGATATGATTGCTTAAACACACACATAAACACAAACACACATACTCAAAGGTTATGCATCAGTATCTTTGTGGGGACCATCCATTAATTTCTATGGATAAACCCTAATCCCAACAATGACAACCTTAACCCCTAACCTAACCTTAATCCTAACCTTAACCATAACGTTTTTTGATTGGAGTCACAGATTTTTATAAAATTTAGTTTCACCTTGTGGGGATCGAAAAGGTGGCCCCCACAATGTCAAAATAACAGATTTTTATCACATTGTGGAGACATTTGGTCCCCACAATATAATATATACACGATCCACGCATACACACACACACATACGCACACACACATACACATCATATCAGTGTGGAGAAGCAGTGAAGCAGACAAACGCATCAGGAGTCTTACTGCTGTCACAAATAGGTTCTCATTCATCTAAAGTTATTGTTTTCTAGATGCCAGATGTTAAAACAGAAATGTGCTGTAAATGTGCGTTACACGTATTTAAACTCTAACTTCAAAAAAAAAACCTCTCCGATCTACCACTCTTAAGTTCTCTAGGTGAAAAAGGTAAAGTGAATTAGATTTCCTTTTAATTAACATTCTTTTTTATACAGCGCAATGTCCAAATCTAATAAGTGTATATATTGTACACATTTCCTAATATATGCAGTGTTTTTGCACATGTCAGGTGCCCATTTCCCACATCCAAATCTGTAGTGGACTGTATCAGCTTTATCCTCAACAATGCAAGAAAAAAACACCAGCTGCTCATCTGTGGCACAGGCCGAGAAACGACGTGAACTGCAAAATCACACTGAGCCAGGACGTGCCTTTCATTAGTACCCATGAGATGAGTAACAGAGAATCTGACGAGAAGCTCTGCTTCTTTAAGAAGACACAAATATGAGCATGAAGCCCATGATTATTATAATATAATAATATAATAGCTGGGACTATGGGGTGATACAAACTATCATGGCCGTTGTTTTACAAGCTCAGTGGTAATATAGGGGCCAAGGACACTGGAGCGACACACGTGGGTCCTGTGACACTGTCCGACTGCATTCACCCCTTGTCCTTCCTTTCCCGTTTCCTGCTTCTCTCCACGCTTGTCACAATGCATTGGTGCCTCTGTGGCTCCAAAGCTGCTGTCCATGTGTACAGATGTGACGGACAGTCGCTGTCAAAGGCATGTCTTAAGCTGTCATTCACATGGCAAATCAAACAGACACACAAGAAATGTACTCTGCCACGCATGTCAGATCTGAACCACAGCAAATCTCCGTCTAACGTGGTTATTCTAGACCAATACTAACAAATATTTATGATTTAGTCGTTTTTTTTGGAAACTAAAAGAAGAAAATCCACAGGACATCAAGCACTTAAACATATCTGTGTGTCATGTCTTTATACACATAGGGTATCGTAATATCAAAACACTAAAGAGGCATATTAAATATCCCAAATGCTCTTTTAAAAACATTGAAGTCCCAGATCAAGTTAAAAAGCCTGTGTTATACCCATGGAATTGGCAAGCGTGTATTTGCAGTGACAAAAGTAGCAGAGCTATTCATGGCCACCCACGTAGTGAGGTTCTTCAAACCAAAGGGTTGTTTCTCTGTTGGATTCATGCAGTGTCCCAAGGGGACTGGCAATTGCGTCTTCTCAAGGGGATCCACAGGACAGCTGAAGCCGGCAGAGGCACAGTGATCCTGAAGTTCAGCTGACTCACATGGAAAAGGAGAGACCTCGGTCTGTCATGCTGATTTCATTTACACTTACGACGTCTCCTTGTGAAAAGCCTACCAGCGTTGATTAACTAAAAAGAAATTAATTTTGCTTCTTTAGTTCATGTATTATGGTTTGTTTTTCTTCATTAATGCTTGTGGTATAAAAAGGTTCTGTATGATCTTTGAACCTTTTACATATATATATTTTTGGCAGAGTAAAGCTCAATGCCTGACCTACATAAAAAATATACACAAATATATATATATAATTCACAGTGCTGCACTGGATGGGTATGCAGAATCCTTTTATGTAACTGTGGCCAGTATGAAACATGCTGGTCCCTGGCTTAGGTTTATATATTTAAATGGAGAGATGGACCACTGACAGGGCTGTGGAGCACTTCCATCCATAATACTCAATAATGCAGCAGCACGCATGTGACACGCATGCACACACTGCCATGCATGTTAAAACACCCATGCCACCAGACAAAGAGGCTTGAGAAGGTCTTACTTTCTGGTTGTTCAGTACTGTGGCTCGGCACCACATTTTAGACTAGATTTTTTTTGCCAGTTTCTTGTCACAGGAGATACATCTCAGGTGGGCCTGTAGAGTGGTTTCTGCTTGAGATTCATACCATAAAGGAGGTTCTGTGTCCTCAAGCCCATCCCTAGAGTAATAGACTCCACCATCGTACGCCCAAGTAAGGCCAGGATCGGATGATATAATACAGATATAACAATGTATCATTTACATTCAAATTCTGATAAATATGCAGTCCTGCAACCCTAACCTGTGTAAGGAGCCGGATGGGTGGTTGGATGGATGGATGGATATACGATTCAGTTACAGGTGGTCTTCATTTTCACCAATGAGGTGCTAGCAAATGACTTGGTTAATGAAACAGATATTTTTCCCTGCATAAATTCTTAAGTAACAATGTGTTGTGCAGGCCTCTTCAGATATGTGCAAAACTATATTAATAAAGATAATACTGATGCAAGATGAATATATTTTAATTTATGGAAAAAATAAATCTTACTATTCATTAGGGATATTATGGTCATGTTAGTCAGTTAAAATACCAAACATTCTATTTCATTGCCTTAGAACACTGTCAGAAAAAAAACCTTTGAGGGTACAATTACTTAATTGTCACTGGGGTTGTACCCTCAAGGTCTGCCAGTTGTGCCCTAACTGTAAGTAAACTGACTCTGAAGAACGTTTTTGTAAGGCTGGGGGTACTTTGTTGTTTGTACCTTGGGTACAAAACAGTATCAGGGTTGTACCCTTTTTATCTGACAATGTATCAGGGATGGAGATTTCAGGTTCAAAGAGTACAAACCCACACCAAGATTTTGTTTCAACGAACCAGCTGACTACTCTGTGACTGTGACTCTTGATACTCAACTGGTTGGTTGAAACAAAATCTTGGTGTGGATTTGTACTCTCTATACCTGAAATCTCCACCTCTGCAATGTATATACTAGGTTAGTATTTTTCTGTGGGCTACTAAAAAGTATTTTTTTCTGCATACTCATTCTGGAAGTTTATTCGCGTAGCTCATAATTGTATTACTCTTCTGTTACGGATATCCAGTTTGTTCCATTGCTGTCAAATGCAGTAACTTTTTAATCGGATTATTGAAATGAGACGCTTCCATGGTGCTGCATTTCAAGCAAGCAAACGAATAAGCAAAGCAGACGCAACTTAATGTCGCCATCTAATGGACCGTAGCCGTAAAAACAGGGTATAATGTATGTATAATGAAAAAAGAACAATGTATTACCGCATCCTCTTGTTTACGGCTATGGGGCAACCGTGTCGCTGTGTAAAAACAAAAAATGAATTGAATTCTGTTTTGATAATAAAATTATACTGAAGAAAGCATATTGTAGTAGTAAGCAGTGGCTATGTGGGTTTGATATTAATCGATATTAACTATTTCCGATTATTTCTTAAAATGATCCTTTATGCTTTAAGCTGTGCAAACCTCAGCATCCTAGCATATATCTAATTTCCCTGACATTCATTTTCTAGTATAGATTCGCAAGGAGTTGTTGAACTGCAGAAACTGCACAACCGAGTGCAATGAAAAACACACCGGTGTTCGGAGACGATTTAAATTCATTTTGATGTGTATTATATTATATTTTTACATAATACATTATTGTAATCTACACTATATTTACACTGATTCCTATGGAAAGTACACGAACAGATATGAACGCTTTAGAAATCTACTACAATATGTCGCATTCGTTTTAATGTTTAAGACGGACGCACAAATTATCCGAGCTAGAAATAACTGATTAAGGCTACTGTAGGCATCCGTCTGAAATACTTTATTCATCAGATTTTATGCATGGTTATGATGTCGATCATTCGCGTTATACAGGAGGGATTCGGAAAGGAAATATTCAGCCTAAATATAATCATGTCTGGAAACAATCCCAGTTATCACTTTCTTACTTTCCACACTATCTACCGTGGCTGTCTAAATAAAAACAACAATTAGGATGTTTTATGTGAGAATATGCCTACGCTGTGCTGTATAAAATGCATTTAATATTTTAGTATGAAATTAGGTAGGCTACTTGGCATGTAAAACATTTTTGACGCCTGTGTGCACAAACAGCCTCCATTTGGTGTCGCATATGCTCCCGAAAATAAAGCCGGCGACACTATTATCTGGATGGACTGTTTTTGGAGTTGTTCGCTGACGGCGACGCTAGGGGGCGCCTGCCATTCCAGCTCCATTTTTCCCTACACGTGTAGATTTATTTCAAGATGGCTGCGCCTATTACCTCGTGAGCTACGTACAGAATTAAGGTATAAGTATACAGCTCAATAAAGCCGCATCTTTACGTAACTTAGGATTTTGTTTAAGTTATGTCAAAGTTAGCTCTTTAGCTTGTTGCTTTCATGTTTTTGAATTAGAGGAACTTGTTTATCTGGCTAGAAGTCTGTCCTGCTTCGTTCAGATGTGTTCAAAGTAGACCGGCTGTAATTAACTAGCTTCCTGATATATTTGTCAGTGACTGGCTAGTAATTAGTTACGTGTGAAACTGTAGTATGTAGTAGTATTTTACATGAAGACGGCAATAATAATTATTATCATCATTGCGACTTGGAGATATTCGGATTTCTGTGGATTATAGACCCTTGCAGAACGTAAGTACTAGAAGTTGAGTTGAATATCTTTTAATACTTCTTTTACTGTGAATTATATGTACGGGTATGTTAAACGTTTCGCTCCGGCGTATGTATGGCTGTGTTTAAACAAGAGTTCTGCACTTTTTGGACTATGATAGCATGTCAAGTGAAGAGGAAAGTCAACTGAGTGTGGAATTCGAGATGGCGGAAGGCATGGTAATCGATCAAGGTGAAGAGATGGCGAAGACCACACCTGAGGAGGGTGTAGATGACTCTGATGATAAAGAGACTGAAGAAATATGTGTTGTTGATGGAGATGGCAGTAAGAAAAAGAAGCCTACGAGCAAGAAGAAGATCGTACCAGGCATTTTATATTTGGGCCACATCCCACCCAGACTAAAACCAAGTCATTTGCGGAACATGTTAGGGGTGTACGGAGAGGTTGGACGGATCTTTCTCCAGCCAGAAGGTGAGAACATTACTTCTTTAAAGTTTTTTCAATGTGGTTCCTTGAATCTATGTGAAATAGATGTTTGTGAAGTAGCATTATAAAAATGCCTCTTGAGGACATTTTTATGACAGAGACCTTTTCTCATATTCGTTAGACCATTCAGTACGTCGGAAGAAGAAGAAAGCTGGTTCTAAGGGCCATGACTTTACTGAGGGCTGGGTGGAGTTTAAAGACAAGCGTGTTGCCAAGAAAGTAGCGGCCAGTTTGCACAACACCCCCATGGCTGTCCGAAAGAAGAGCCACTTCGCGTCAGACCTGTGGTGCATCAAGGTGTATCACTGCTTTTTCCTGCTCATTCAAATGTGTCTGCAGTGTTTAGGAAGTATTACAAATGCAGCCTTTCCTTAAATTCCAGTGTACTGCAACTAAAATAGTTAATTGATTTAGAAATTAGTTCCATTTGAGGGCTAGATTTTCTCTCAACAACTGACACTAAATATAATTGGCTATTAAACATGGTAAGGTTGGGCAAATAGGAATTACTGTTGTAATACAAAAGCCCAAAAGGAGCCTAGAAACATCCATATTCTAACCGCCTGTCTTGGGCAGGGTTGTATCCCATATAGCCAAGGGCACAGCCTACAAAAATGATAATCCAAAATAATTTTTGTTAGTTAGCAAGAACCAATAAAATGGCAATTTAAAATCACCTTTAAGGATGCAAAATGGTCCTTTTGATTTGTTTATTTTGATCTTGTTTCTAACTTGTGTGTTGTTTACACTTTATCCTCTCAGTACCTTCACCAGTTCTACTGGTGCCACCTGAGCGAGCGTCTGGCCTATGAGCAGACCGTGAGGCAGCAGCGCTTGCGCACTGAAATCTCACAGGCCAAGCGCGAGACCAACTTCTACCTGGCCAATGTGGAGAAGAGTCAGAACTTAGAGAGGCTGCGGAAGAAGAGGGAGAAGAGCGGGGAGGAGGTGGTCGAGAAGACCTGGGACTTCACCCAACGGCGCACTGAGGAGGAGATCCAGCAGAGCCGCCTGCGTAAATACGCCATGTCGAAGAAGAGCCTTCAGAAAGCACAGGAGAAGGTCCGCACCATCCAGGAGAAGGCCCAGTCCAACGTCTCCCTGCTGGCCAGGATCTTCAACAGCCAGTCAGCTGACAGCTGATATAGCTGAGACTGAAGACGCTCATGGCAGTCACACTGAGACTATGGGATGGAGGACAGATCAGAATGCTTCCTGTCATGCAGAGATGGAAGAACCTTTTCAAAGGTTCAGTGAACCCCAGGTTACTCAGATGATATCGCTGTTTCATCTTCAGCATATTGTAAGAGTTACGATGACTGGTTAAATTACGTATGAAGGTGGCCACTGCTATCATTAAGGTATCAGAATAAGATGGATGCAGCAAATGGGACCTCAATGTGTTTGACCATCGGGCTGGATGCTGTTAAGGAGTGTGCTCTCATTGTATTTTGATTAATAATAATGCCTGAGTGTATATACAGCGATGTTTCTCAGCCTGGTCATCAAGGAATCTCAGATGGTCCACGTTTTTACTCCTGTGGACTGTCTGGCAGGAAGCTGGGAGGAAGCAAAAATGTGGACTGTCTGGGAGGAAGCAAAAATGTGAACTGTCTAGGGGTCCCCGAGGACTGGGTTGAGAAGCACTGATATGGAGCATACTATTGGACATAAGGTCCCAGGCCTTTATGCTAATCCTTATGCTAGTATGCCAGTTTTTTGTTTAAACCAAACCCTTTAATAAACTATGAAATAAGAAAATGTTGCATCTGTCAGGTCCCTAAGGTACAGATCATAGGGCACAAATGTGATGCATATATTTGAGGGAATAAAAATAAAATTTTTGCGCTTCAAGCATTGAAAAAGGAAGTGGACAGTAATAAGCCAGTTACTTAAAGGTCTGTCCCCCTTCAGATTAATAATACAATGCTACCCTTTGAAAGGACATAGAAATTTAAGTAGTGGGCAATGATATCTGGAGTCAATCAACAGTACAATTTTGCCTGTATTGCGAGCTCATCCGGCACATAAAGATGACACCATGTTGATAGCCACAGCAGTTGTTTAGTATGTCTGGTTTTGTCTTTGTTCCCAAAACACAACTGACCATTGTTATTACTATTGTTTTGAGCAGATGGCAAATTGAAATATGAACTAACTTGAAAGGAAAATGTGTTATTGAACCAAAAATACAAAAATGCATGTTCAATTATGGATGATGTGATGCAGTCTATAGAGGAGCAATGAGGTGCATATCCATTGTGGAGCATGTGAGTAATCTACAGCCCTGCTTGCATTTGTTTTAAAATGTGCCTTGTGAATCCTAATGTGTCCTGATACATTCCCAACAAGAACTTCACAATAATTATGAGCGGAGCAGTAATGAAATCTGAACACAAGTGGTCAACTGGACACCTTGGAGACCAATGATAGACAAGTGTAAACAGCAGTGTTTCTTGGTTGACTGCTCGTGATCTGTTCACTCAAGATTCATTTTAAAACCAACTGTCCAACTGTAAATAAGGCCTCAGTGGTATGTAGTGTAGCCCGAACAAGTGGGGATCAAGACAATTGTTTGTAGTGGGTCATGGGGGGGGGGGGGGGGAGCTTGGAGCAGTTCCCAGGCAACATGGGGAACAAAGAAGGGGACAACCCTGACTGGAATTCCAGTCTGTCGCAAAACACACACAGTGTTACAGTATGGGCAACTTAGGGCAACTAATTCACTTTAATGTTTTTGAACTGCAGGAGTCAACTCACAAACATAGGGGGACATGCAAGTACCACAAACATAGCTTATATACGGTGAGCTTCGAACCCCCCAGTCTTGAAGGTTCAGTGGAAATCCCTAAAATATCATGTTGCATTGTATGGTATATCGTACTAATTTAATTGTAGCCAGGTTTTAACAATCGTTTTAGAAAAAAGCATCGCAAGTACTATAAATTAACGTGCATTAACCTTGTCTTTTGCCTCAAAAAACATCACAAAAATGAACAAGAACACATTTCTGTTTTCACTAACACTTTTTATGAACATTTAGTAAAAACTAATGCAGTTTCACATTATTGTGCAGTTTTTATTCATCATTTTATTGTTCTTGCACTTTAGGCAAGACTAATATGGTGTGAACCACCAGATCTAACAAGGTCTTTCAAACACCAGTACAGGACAAGGTCAAGTATCTTGCTTCCTAACCCAAGAAAATGGACTTCTCCAAGCCGTCTTCTACCTTGGTGTATTCCAAGTGGGATTTGAAGTAACGGCTCTCATAACGAGGGTTGGTACGCACATACTCCAGGTACTCTGGGGTCCCAGGACAGATGACATTGTCTGCCAGCAGCACAGTGCCTCTCCTAAGCAGTCCACATTCCTGGAGAACGACCAGTATGCACACCCTGGATTAGCAAATTCTACGGCGCTCTTCATATTTTGCTTTTTGCTGTTAGAGATTTTTCTTACACATGGGTAGTTTTGTGTACCTCTAATAGTTTGATGTCAAGAAGATATCTATCCTTCCAGTGATCCAGGAAAACAAAGTCAAACTCTTTGACCCCAAATTGTTGCTTCATCTGGGGGATCAGATCTCCTGAGGCCCCCACCACAAGCTCCACCTGCAACACCAGAAACAACACGTCAGTATTAAGGCTTCACCTCTGCAACATAACAGCTTGGTGACTGAGCCACGTTCCTTCCCCACCCCCCTAACCTTATCCTGAAGGCCTGCCCATGCGATGACCTGACGGGCCACAACTGCATAATCAGGGTTGAACTCTAGGGTGATGAGACGGGTTTCAGGGGGCAGCAGACGAGCGATGCGGACGGTGGAGTATCCACAGTAAGTTCCGAGTTCCAGAGCAGTGCTGGGATTCACCTCACTGACCACACAGTCCAGGATGGCACCTGCACACACACGGTAATGACTTCACATGAGCTTATAGAAGAACTGTCTCCTTATTGCTAGTGTTTTTTCCTCAACTAGAGCAGATTTCCTCTGGAGGAGTTTAAGTATCTCAGTGACCACAAGTGACCACAAGTGAGTGAAGAAGGGAGCAGGAGATCCACAGACGGATTGGTGCAGCATCGGAAGTAAAGTGGACGCTGTACCATTCTGTCAGGGTAAAGATAGAGCTCAACCGGAAGGCAAAGGTTTGATTTACTGGTCGAGCTACGTTCCTATTGTCATCTGTGTTCACGAGCTTTGGATTGTGACAAAAAGAAAGATATCACGGATACAAGTGCCAAGCAGGAGCTTCCTCCGCGGGGTAACTGGATAAGAGCTCAGACATGTGGGAGGAAATCTCGGGGCAGATCTAGGAGACGCTGGACAGGTTACATCACTCAGATGGCCTGGGAGCGCCTTGGTATCCCCCGGTGAAGCTGGAGGTGAATTTAATTTTTTTTTTACCCCCAACTTAGAACATTTTAACGAGTGTAAAATATTATACTTTGTTTACCTCACCAAGTTTGAAATCCATTGTTAATAAATGTATAAATGAAATATATCTGACAGTGAACATGTGTTTTATATATTTAATGTTGGAAAATCTTAATCTTACAGTAATCAGCCATTTTATCATATCTGCTGAGTCTCTGATCATGTTTCTCTCAGACCTGATGAAATCAGAAGCACACTATCAGTAATACTGTTGCTAGACTCATCACACACACAGGCACTCGTTTGTTGTGTCAGATTTCACAGAGCACGATTAATATACAGAGTGTGATGTTGTATGATGAAGGCTATATTATGACCAAATTCAAAATTGCTGATCCCTTGCAAACAACATGATTAGATACAGTTATACTTGGTAAATACATTGGTATTAAATTTCTAATACTCTTCAGAAAAATTGACATGTCTTTTGACAATTCTTCAGGCTATTATATTAATGATTGTAGCATCAAGATGACATATGTGTAGTGGTCCAGAATTGCCATAATTTTTATATGTAATATGCAATTTTTAATTTCTATAATATGTGTTCTCAATAGATTATACATGAGACTTAAGAAACCTTGTATGAGAAGCAGGTTTTAAAAATTCATAAAATAGAGGGCCGAACATAAGATGCAGTGGTAAAATCAGCAGGAGTGTTCTGATTGGTCAACCGGTTGGGTTTGTGCTCTCATGCGAAGGCCGCATTGGTCTCGTGGGCAGGAGGATTCCTTCGCTTCACATCCAGAAAAGAGTAACACGATGTGACTAGGCTGCTTTAGAGCAGACTGGGAGGAGCGGCATTTAAGAAGCCAAGCAAATGGGGAAAAAAAGAGGATTTACACAGAGAAAAGAGGGAGAGGCCATCCTGTGTGCAAAGGAGAAAAAACACAGGGGCTACGATTACCTTTCTCATCGCCCACATTCATGGCCCACTCTTTGTGCCGGCAAAAGTTGTCAATCGCAGAGATGACACTCTGGGGGTCCCCTCGAGTAGCTTTTTTCTGAACGGCCTTCAGGAGGCGCTAGAAAAGAAATCAAGTTTTGAGAGTGAGATTGCACTACAACTGCTTTCAGGTCACTGAGATGATAAAATGAAAAATTGATATTGAATTCTGGGAAAATATGAAAGCTGTGACAAAAAATATTAACGATGAAACATTTTAAAAAGTATGTATTACAATTTTAAGAGATGTTTTATACACAATACTTTTTTAAAAATACATGTTCTGCTTTTAGCTCCAGCTTCACTGGCATTTTTTGTTGCAAAATAGTAGATGATTGTAAGATTACTCCACATACTGCAGCATGTAGAAATTTCATGGCCCAGCAAAAACTTTACTGAAATGAGTTATTGTACAATGAAAACAGGAAAGGTGGGCATGTCTAGAGTAGCGCCAAGGGTTATGGAGAGCAAAACATTATGAAGATGGATTGGGGGGGTCACCTGAGGTCGTGTGGACCAGGTTAGGGCATTGAGGATCTGTTCCAGAATGAAGTCGTGCCACAGCAGAGTTAGCCGGGGGCTGCCTTCCACTGCTGCTGGTATAAGCCAGCCACACAGCACATACAGGATAGCTGCACCCCCTCCACACAGAGACAGGAAGTACAGCCACATGCTGACCAGAAGAGGGAAGCAGGTTATTTCAGGGTGCTTAGCAACGGCAGCCTGAGCAGAGGCGCTGAGGGGCTTGATTACATCACATGACTTCAGTTACATAACATGCTGTTGAAAGCATCAATGCGCTGGTAACCCATTTCAAATTCAACATATGGGTGTAGCTTTCTGACAGCTGTCATGAGGGCAGAAAAGAAAAACATAGGTGTTTCTAATACACAATGCACATTTTCCACAATCAAAACTTACTATTAAAGAATCTGGATTACAATGTTTCATTATCAGTAACAGTACATAATTCACTGACTCTTAGATCTGACCTTGGAGCCAGCATATTGACAATAATTCACATGTGTCTGGCAAAATCATTTATGTTCACCTTCAAGAAGAGGATACCTAAGGGTGGCCATATGATGTTTTTGTCTGGGAAAAAAAAAGTTGAAAAAGATCCATCAAATAATTTGAGTTACTGAACTAATAAGAAAGTGTCTGCTGCAGTGCACTGGTGCCGAAACTATATGTATTACCCATCTAGGAAATACAATAAGTGAGCAAAAAAGATTATAGGAAGAGATGGATATAGTACTTTAAAATAATATTTATATTAAAAAAGTAACACTACAAAAATCCACTTGAAACTTGGGAATTGCAGTATAACTGTGAATATTATTATTATTATTATTATTAAATAGTAGTTCATTTTATATTAAAAAAGCAACATTACTGCAAAACAGCCAACGATCAACTACAGCAACAACTTGCAGTAAAAATTGTACACATTAAAGAATGACCCGAGATACACCAGCCACACAAATGCCTTACATTTCATAAGCAATTGGAAAATTATATGTACTGGTACAATTCATTTAAGTCTGCAGGTGCTATTCTCCAGGAATGTCACTGTAAGTGTTCCAAAATATCAAGCATATCCTCTAACAACCCAAGCAACAGGTTAATGAGAATGCTCCTCTGTTTCCCCCAACATTAATTATTTATTTGCATGCCAGATGGCTTAATTATCTTGCATTCCACTGTTTGTCTATTGACTCTTAGTTTTACATGAGACGGGACTCCTCCAAATCTAATCATCAAAGACTCCTAACACCCTGAACACTACCTTTTCTCCCCCCTCCCCTCTGGCAGACGCTACAGGTCAATCAGAGCAAGAACAAAGAGACTGAACAAAAGCTTTTACCCACAGGCAGTCAAATGTGCCCATCCTCCCACCCCCACATGACTGTCTTATATGCAATTCTATGCTTAGGATAGGTTATTAAACACACACTACCTCGGACTGACATATTGTACACATTGTGCTCAGACACTCATACTGTAATAGGATGGCTGTTTCTTTTTGTGTGTTGTTCTTATTTCTCTTATTACTTTAACTTATGCTGCTAAACAGTCTTTCACCGTTTCTGTAATAGTGACAATAAAGATCTAATTCATTATTACCTGGTATGAACTTCTGAACCTCTTTACTCTCTATCCATGACAACTTATATGACATATTTGTAAGGTTGCCACCTCAGTCCCATAAAATCCTGGACACCCAGTCATTGACCAAAAATACTGCACATGGTGACCATATTCCAAAGGTCTGTTTGATAAAGAAATAGTCCATCATCTTCCAAAATGAAATTCATTGTTTCCAGGACAGACAACCAAAACCCAGGGTGGTCTGGGAAAATCCTGGAAGAGTGGAAACCCTATATATTTGACTGGTTAAAGAAAGAAGTGTGGCTGACAGGCAAAAATAGTGAGAGAGTGCAATAAAATTAGTGAAAAATAAATTATTTCCTTGAAAAGTATCCTTAGCAGAAAGTAGGCCTACTTTGAAAAATGCTAATTCTTCCTAATTCCACTAATGAATGCAGACCATTACTAGCCACTTCTGGTTACTGTTCACCTCATTGCAGCCAACTAGCTTCTGCAAAGTTTATATAATGCAATGCTCAGTTACTCTTATTTCGAAAATTCTGACTAGATGCTATCTAAAAGCCTTCTGTTCCATTTGACATGAAGCATGCCACATGACTATTCATGAAAGGCATCCTCTCTTTCTTTTCATTGCACCTTTTGTGCTACATTAATGAGATGCGTATTTAAAATCCTCAGATAAAAGAGCTCCTTTTCCCCTTTTGCTTGTATTAATTCACAAAACGGGCATCGCGTAGTAATCTCCACCCCCTCACTTACACATGCTCCGCCACTCTATTCACTCTCCATTAATACACTAAAATGTCCACATAAGCAGACCCGATATTCTCTCCACGAGTATGCCAAAAAATGCCGAAAAAGCAGACCCGATATCCTCTCCATGAATACAAAAGGGGAGGAAAACACCAGGAAAAACAAGGAAATGTTCATTAAATTAGTTAAATGGTCCTTAGTCCTCAATTAGGAAATGCGACCAATTTCGGATTGTTATGCAACTGATAATGAAAGACCGAAAAGGAAAGTTGAGGGATCCCTTCAACTCCACACGCTTCGCACCGCCGGAGCTACTGGTGCTTTAGAGCATCGATACTTCCGTGAAGCGAGGCGTCAGTGTCTCCGCGTTTCACTGCTATTTTCAATACTTAACAACACATTAAAAAGTTCCCGTGTCTATTCTACACTAACTGCAGATCAGGAAAAAAGTGTAACGTAAGAAACCCATAGAATGTAACATTGGCTATGACAGCAAGGCCAGCTTCGGTTGAAGTTAGATTTTCCATTCGAGATGACTGCACACATATACACATGTGCACGCATTTACATGTGTGTAACAGTTTTATTAACTTGTAAAAATCTGTAGGGTTTGCAAACTACCCTAATGCCTTCGTTGTAGCCAATTGTAGCTATAAACCGGTTTATAATAGAATAATATAGATTCGCTGCAAGATTTCTCGCGTGAGTGTGAGTCAGAAAGCTTGAGAGTCGGTAGTCCTGTCACACAAGAAGCAACAGATAACATAAGTTACTCAACACAGTACTGTACACAAATAGCCTACTTATATGTTTGTAATGTTTAACATTGCCATGCTCGTCCACACAAGGCGACTGCATCAAAAATTAGTTATGCCACTCTTGCATTAGGTTTAATATTTGCTGAATGTGTGTTTTGCATTGCAAACGGCAGTGCTTCTGCTGCTCCTGAACCATCTCCCATTAGCTTGGATGTTCTTGTAACCTAGAATTGAGATTCTAGACAGGAATCCAGTCACAGGTACCCTGGACTAGTCTAGAGACACAGTACTCCAAGTTCACATTCCTTCGTCTTAAGGGGCTCCACATTTCCCCCTCAGCCCTCAAGGCTTTAATTCCACCTCAGAGTTTCAACATTAACAAGTAAGTCCTATCGCACAAGTAAGCACGCTGAAAACTTCCAGACCGCTGGGTAGCCACATAAAAATAAAATCCCATTGTCTTATTTCGGACCAAGGTTGGATTACAAACATGTCACAGGGCAGAAGTTAACATACTACGACCATTCGTTCTATAGGACAAGGTTAGGCAACTGGAGGCAGTAGGCCTCTCCACCCTTATAACGCATTGTATAGCAGCCAGCTCGTTCTGCAAATATTAAAAGTATGTTTCAAAATTAGCAAAATAAAACACTTTGAAAACAATTCTAGCACACCATGCTGCCTTAACACTAGGAGGATCAGGAAGCAGGTACCTGAAGAATTGCAGAACAAGAAAGATGAGCCGAATATTCGAATGAAACGAGTATCCCGTACGTTCTTTTCAAATCCGACTGCTTTCCGATTATCGTTAACGAATATCCGTGTCTGTTTACAGTGCTTCTTTCCGTTTTCTACTGTTTGTGGATGTCCAAAATACGGCCCGAGCAGGGATTTTAAACGACCGGCAATTGTCTCTTTAACTGTATCATATTTTGCCCGGCCAATAAAAAAAAGTTTAGCAAGGCGGAACTAATGTGTTCATTAATGAAAGCAACGGACAGTAAACGATCACACGCAGTTTCCGAATGTTACTTTTCCACTAGACGTCAGTGAGTATCATTAACATCTCAGAAAAAAAGCCATCGCTTTCAAGAACAGTGAGAATAATTTTTTTCCACCGAAAGACGAAATAGTTGTTTGTCTCATCTGTCAAAAGACTGTTGAAGTTATGAAAGAATGTAATGTGAAAAGACATTACGAAACTATGCATGCAGAGTCATACAGGAGATTCTCCGGAGGCCAACGAGTAAATAAACTGTTCTATCCTCCCAGCACCGGCTTTTAATCCGAGCCAAGGATCGAGTCAAAAGGGAACACTACTAGGCCTGGGACCTGTACAACGAAGTAGGATTTCATGCTAGGTTGGATAACTTGTCGGATTTAAGGTGCTCCAGTTTAAACGGACTTTATCTTCGTTCACTTACATTTAGCCCAGACTACCTTAAATGTGACAAGTTATCCGGCTAAGCAAGAATTCCTGTCACCAGTGGCCTATACTACGAAGCGGGGTTACTAGTTTATCACAGTTATCAGGGCAACTTGTCGGATTTAAGGTAGTCTGGGCAAAATATAAGTGAATGAATATGAAGTCCATTTACACTGTGGTACCTTAAATCCGACAAGTAGCCTAAGCCTGATAAGCCAGTAACCCTGCTTCATAGTACAGGCCACTGCTTGGTGATACAGGTCCCTGCTTATGAAGTAGCAATGTTAATCGCTAAACATGACGCGTGTACTGCCTTCTAGAGCTCAGGTTCACCCCACTCATTAGTGAACTTTCTCTCAACTGGTGCTACTGATTGAATGTTTATTTCTAAGTGCAAGTTTCTGAATGTTTTGAGCCACTAAAGATGTCTTAAAATGTTATAGGTGTACGTTTTCAAAGGCATGTTCAAGTTTCAAGGTCAATATCCACATTCACTTACAGTTTTAATTGAGAATGTTTCTGGATTTTTTTAAAAATTTTATTCATAAGTTGATATGTTCCTTTCAAAGAGCTGAAAGGATTATTTTATTTTAAGTGCGGTACCTTAGAAAATTGATCTACTACTGATTTACTGATGATTCACTGGCTATTAAAAAAAATGTTTTTTTTTGTTACTGAAGGCACTTTAATTTTAAAGGTGAGCACAACTTGAAAATCACGCAAAAAATTAAAATACGTTTTATTGGCTAAGTTTTTCCTAATTTTTAACCCATATAGTATAGTATATTTGAATAGTCGTCACATGGGTATTTATTCATCAAATTTTGTCTTAAAGTTTGGACACTCCAGGGCCCTTTATTAGGCCATATTACGGTAATATCGCAGCAAAATTAGATACCGCTCAAAACTACTTAGACGGCTTGTTTACTGTGCATAGTTCACGTTGCGTTTACTCTTTGTCCCTTGTGTGCATTTTAAGTTTTCTCTGTTTATATCAGATTTACTTTTACTAATACAGGCCTATGTTTGGCTATGTATCTGTGTTATTTTATTTTATACTGACTTAGGATGTTCTTCAGCCTAATGCCAGACAGCTGTGGGGCTCAGTTGTAAAGATATTACATTACAAAATAAATACAATGTAAAAATGTTGCATTACAGCTTTAATATTGCTGACTGGCCCTATCATAGCTGTTTATAAATTTTATGGCCAGACCGAAATCTAAAGTTGCCCATCCCTGCTTTATGGGGACCAGGACACCCTCTAATCAAAGAGACAGAGATTCACAGCACAGATTCTGAGCATTGGTGGTGCCTGGGCAGTGTTTTCAGGCTTTCAATAAAGATTCTATCATATGCAGAGTGTGGTGCAAATCTGATAATATGGAGACAATAAAAGAGTGACAGATGGAAGAGCCTTAAACACCCCCAGTGTATTACCTACTACTGTAGAGTAATCAGATTCATTCTGTTACTGATTTCCATGAGTATGATTACTATGTTTATTGGTTCAAATTTATGATTTAAACAGTACATTTGTTTAAAAGGCTTTTTAATAAAAAATGTCGCTGCCACTTTACAATAAGGCTACCCATATAAAGAGTTTATGAATGGTTGAAAAAATGGTTATTAATTAGGTTGTAACACTTTGAAAATTATCAATAGACAATTTTAAACAATTTATAACACAGTTTTCTTTGTTATTAATGAGTTACTACCATTTACAAGTGGCAAAAGGGAGCCTTATTATAAAGTGGTACCAAAATCTTTGATGAGGTGCAATGAGATTTTTTGGGAATTTACCTTTTTTATTTTATAGGCACTATCCACATAAAATCTAAGGAGGTGGAAAAGCTTGATTTGTGACGGAAAATAACCAAGCCAGTGCACAACCACACTTTCCTCTCATAACATTCACATCTGCACAAGAAAGAAATGTCTCACACACAGAAACAAAACCTTCAGATCACTGTGCCAAAGAGACTTTTCACAATGAGAGAAAGAGACATTAAAGGCAGGGTGCAGATGTCTTACATTTTGCAGCAGGTGTGTCCTGTCCAAGCAGTGTGGCAACGCTCCTCTTCTTCTTCCTGCTCACTCTCACTCTGTCTCCCTCCTCTCTCCTCGTCTCCTCTCACCCAAATGCTTCCTTTCTTTCTCACTTAATCTCACGCACATTCACACACTCTCACAGGAACTGCAGCTGTCTCTTGCTCCATGTTATGATCTCGCCACTGCACCTTCCTCTCTCACCCCTTATTTGTTTTCATCGCCAGCAGAATTGAAACTGCAGTGGGAAGTGGCACCACAGCTGATGCACATGCACGCACGTGTATGGAGAAATGCAGGAGAGAGGGCGACAGCTCCAGTAATCGCGGTTGTTTTCAATCCTCCTTTAGCCAATTGTACAATAATCCTTTTTCCTCTCTCCCTGGTTACCCCTCCCCCAGCTCCAGTCCTGCATTCACAAACTGGTTTGTACAGTTCACGAAGGCAGCAGGCTCACACATGAATTTTCCACATTCCCATTAATTGTTTCAGTACACACAGTGAATGTGTATATTACGTCATATATTATTTTATTATACATAATTCATGCATTTTATGTATACAATATAAAAATGTTAATGTTGATTGTCATACTAGATCGCACCATAGGTGCAAGTGTAGTGGTGAGAATTCACTCCTATGTGTTTCCAACTGAAGGGAAACGATGCATGCTTCACTCACAGAGACTCCAGTAGCTCACAATATGGCTATTATGGGGTATTCACACACCAACATATACACAACAAACCTTATATGGTGGATTTAAACCTCATAGGTATCTGTTTACTTCTGTCGTTACAGGACAAGCTTATTGTGCTGTAAATAAACAGGTTTTTCATGTTTCTTGTCCTGGTGATGAATAAATGTGTTACACTTCAACACGCAAATACTGTTTGTCTTGTATATTTCATCTGAACTACAGATTCCGCTGAGTGTTTAGCTGTCAGCAGGCAGCCATTCAGAATCAGCGACAGATATTTCAGTGACTGATACAGTATGGTGATATATTCAGCGCAGACTCATGCCAAGTCCTACTCATTCTGTCATTAGCTGTTTGTGAGGAATGAGTCATTTTGGTCCTATAATGTGAAACAAAGTACCCAGAACAATGGTGGGCTGTCTAGGCACACATGGTGTGGTTACAAATGAAGCTTGTTGAAACATCTCACATATTTATCCACAGCAGTCTCCTCAACATTGAGAACAGCGGCCACTAGTGGCCTCTGGTTGTACTTTCTGCTACAGGACAGTAACTGAACAGCTTTCAACAGTAGGGTCCAAACAGGTATTTAGCATAATTTTTAAAGAGTTCATTCATCTAGTCATATTCCGTAACTGCTAGTGTATGGAGAAGGCATGCATCCATAGTTGTTTGCAGTGTTGTCCTATGGTCTGATAAGATCACTCCCTATTGTTTGGGACAGGATCTCCATCAGCGTAGCGTCACAAGATTTTACGATTAATTAGTTAACAACAACTATTGCTGACATGCAATTGACAAATTGTTATACATATAATAAATAATAATAAATAGAATTGGGCCATTAACCTTTTGTATTTATTTCCCCAAGTAACATCCTGTGACTGTTCTGTGGGGAAACAATGGGGATTTTACCTAGGATCCCTGGTGACATGTCCCCAGCCCTCACCTCCCGCTTTCTGCTTAGCAAAATTTAAAAAGCCTAAATACCCCCTCCTGGATCTGTGTGGCTCACTACCCCAAGTTCAATGGCGCAAACAGACTGGTGTCCACACTCCCCTATATACCAAGAACTCTTCCCTGATTACATTCTTTGAGCCCTTTTACGCCCCATGTAATCTTGTTCTAAAGTTATAGTTTTAGGGAGGGGCAAGATTACCATAGTCATCACACAATACTTCTCTCCCATGTAAATAAGAGGAACTTGCTGCCGCCTGGAGTCTTAAAATGATATCCCTCTGTACACACTTAACCCCTACTTATTTACCCATTTTGCCTGCCCAGTCTTGAAACAATCTTACTCATGCTCTATATTTAAGTCTAGAGGAAAAACCTCTTTAATCTCTCTGACACTTTAAGGTGTTGAATGGAAGGTGGATTTTATCCTTAGAACAGATTGAAAGCTGATTAATCAATATTATTACCGTAACATAAAAAATGATCAACCGTATTATCTGGTGTTGCCTCTCTGTTGTCGCCCTCAAGGTTGTGCTCTCTCTGTCATCTTTTTATTATGGTGCCTTGAGAATGTTCACCTGGGCTTATTCCGTATTGTATGTGGTTAATTCTCCATAAGTAATGTAGCTAATTATGAATGCCTGTTTTCTTCTCCATTCTCAACAGACTCCCACCCAGGGCAATCTGAGCTAACAGGTCATCAACTGTTTAAAGACAGCTGGCCTGCAGCAGCACTTAGACAATGGAACCAGTTGTTGGTATCATGCGATGTACTGACACAGTTGTCCATATTGGCCTGTGGTTTATTCGCTGATCCTTATATTGCACAATCACCACTTTCCCACACTTGCTGTCTTCTATCATGATGTGATTTTTATACAGCTTCATTTGTTATCTGTACATCCTGTAGTTTGCATTTTATGAAGGAGCAGCTGTAGGAATAAATTTTAGCTTTCTTATTTTATTTTATTTTATTTACTTTCTTTTTTTGAAAATTTTCAGAAATCACGTAAAAGCACTCAGTGGCATGTTTATAAATATGCGCTTTACTAATTGATTGAAGTGTAGAGATAGAAAATAAAGACATGGAATAATGTTTACTCACTCTTTTACATAGACACATTTGGTATATAGCATTGTGTCAAAATTAGACAAAGTCTCAGGTTGCTCACTGGACAGTGTCACAGGCAGATTTAGATAAATAGAAGAGCATTGTGTGTACAGCAATATTTGCTCTTGCAACCTACATAAGCACCAAGGCAGATGT